GGTGACAACAGAAAATAGTTACTTATTACTTACTTATAGAACGTTATATGTTGAAAATTCAACCGAAAATATTACTTCCCCTCTTCTGCCAAGATTTGGCTCTGGAAGAGGCATAATTACAGCGTTTTCGGAGACCACACTTTCATCTTCCACTTCTGGCCAGTAGAATATAGGTTTCACCGTGTCTTCCTTCTTTCTTAAAAATTTTACTCTTATCTCATCGTCAATAAGTTCTAATATTTGCCCTACAAAGAATTTCTTTGTCTTTTTAGTGGCAAATTCCACTAAGACCCAAGTACCAACTTTAATATTTGCCTGATGGCTTATCAGTCGTTCATCTTCCTCTTCCAGTGTCTCTTTTTCTTCACGTTCATACCTCATTTTCAATTCCTCTAAAGTTTCATCATCGCTGTCACTACCTGCATAACTTTCCACTTCTAAAATGTCACTCTCTTCGGAACTTTCAGGATCTTTTGCTTTGACTGGTTTGGTTTTAGTTTTTATTGTAAGCCTTTTAGGGGTTTGCTGGGATTTTTCGACTTTTTTGTTGTTTGTCATTATTCTTTCGAGTACCTCCCGGCTAGTTATGACCTCGGCCCCAATGGCTACCCTCTTTTTTGTTTTCTTCTCGTCACGTTGTTTTTGCTTAATTTCTTGTAGCATTAAACTTTCGAATGAATTGGATTTTAGATCATTATGTTCGATAATATCATTTGCATTTGTACGTCTCGATATTCCAGAGGTAGATGGGGCTTCTATGTCAGGAACATTTAGAGGAGTTTGAGTGTTAAGAACATTTTGGGGATTCTGAATAATTTCTATATCAACCGAGTTTTGTTTATTGTCCCATCTGCGTAGAGCTTCGGGGTCGTATTTTTCACGACTAATGACAAGGCGATTAAATGGATGAATACCCCCCTTGCGGAATCCATTAATTAGATTCGTTTCGTTTACTCCCGTCCATATTTCTCCAATGAACTGAGAGAAGGTTTTTTTTGATAACTTTTGCCCTATATGTTTTCTTTGCCAGGAAACAAGTTTAGCATCCCATGCATCTTTCATTGCCTTGAAAACTGCCAAGTCAAGAGGCTGGAGTAAATGACTAGAATGGGGTGGTAATTTCAGGATAATAATGTTATTGTCAATGGCCAGACGTATTGTGCGTTCATCCACATGTGTCGAATGACCGTCATAAATTAATAATATGGGCCTTTCATCCGGTACGCTTGGTATAAAAGTTTTTTCAATATACCGAAGGAAGACGTCAGCCTCCATCCATCCGTTCTTGGTAGCAGCATACGCCGTGTTAGGAAATGCAACATTTTCCGGAGCTATCCACTCATCCCAAATATATTTCGCCTTAAATATAATCATTGGTGGCAATTTATGTCCTGTGGCGCTTCCTGCTACAAGCACCGTTATGTTCTCTTTGGCTGGTCCGCTTGTAGTTCGGGAGGATGGTGTGTTTACTTTTCCCACAATTTTGGACTTTGTGGGATATAGACAAAAGCTAGACTCATCCAAATTGTACATTAAATGAGGTTTCTCATCAAATTTGTGTTTAATAATAAGTTGTTCCAACAAATCGAAATATTCATTGATTGGGAATGGATCTACTGCTTTTTTTCTTGCAAATTCAACGGCTTGCGGTTTTTTCAATGATAATCGATGTCTTTGCTTGAACTGGAGGAACCAGTCTTCTCCAGGGCGACCATTCTTGAAACATGTGTTTAAATTGTTTCTCTTCACGTAGTTCTGCACCAAATCGAGAAGTTCTCGTCTTGTAAGGCCAAACCCCCATTTTTCCATACTAGACAGACACTCCGCAAGTTTTTTCTCATCATCTGCAGAAAGGGCAGTGGATCTGCCTAGAGTTTTACTTATTCTTCCTCTTACGCCTCTCTTATGATTGTTGATTGTGCTTGCAGGTATATTAAAACGCCTAGACGCTGCATAGGCTGTTAATCTGCCTGCAGTTACTTCTCGCAATGCAGCCTGTAGATCTTCTTTTGAATATTGAGTAGCTCTGTCTGTTTTTCTTTTATAAACACGCACCATTGTTAAGCCCTATCAAACAGTTTGAATTAGTTCACTTATCTAGCACTTAAAGTTTTCAGCACAATACACTTTATTTAATGTCTTTAGTTTTTTGGTTTTAACTTGAGGTTTTTTTTCCAAAATACACAAATACGCTAGATTTGCTTTTCTTCAAAGGCTTACTGCATCTGTAACAAAAAAAACGTGTTATTTAGGCAAGCTTGGACTATGTCCCACTTGCCCCTTAGGGTTAGTACCCACTTGCCCCACTGACCGAAAAAGCGGGGCAAGTGGGTACTCTGACTCCAAAATTTGTATCCTGCAATCGAAAAATCTGAAAAACATATATAAGATATCATTACTTATTACAGTTATGGGAATGTAATTATCGCCGCGCTAAAATTACGAATAACGAAGATATGAATTTTTTTAAATTTTAGACCAAAGTTTGTATGTGAGATAAATTGAAGGGTGTTTTAAAATTAATACGAATACACCTGCAAAAAAATTGGGTAGTTACATAAAAAATTCTGTGGCTCAGAGAAGGTCTGAAAAACATTCTGTGAAGTTGCGGATATCGAAAGTTACTTTTTGAAATTTTTATAGCTCATATACTCACTTACACCAGAAACCCACTTACCCCACTTAACCTTACATGAATTGGCTTCCATGGATCCTAATAACTGCAATATTGATTTGCGGCATATATTTCGCAATCAAAAACAGCAAGATGAAAATTTCAAGAATCCTGAGAAAACCTCCCGCTACTGAGACCATTGACGAAACACGAGTGATTCCACCCTCGAGTTCCTTCTAGGGATGGAGGAGTTATGTGTGCCATTCGTGGGAACATGCTGACCATTACATCGCCGACCTAAGCAGTTTCTTGAGAACTGTGTAAGCTTGAAACCAGGATGCCCCATGCGAATAAACTTTTAACTTTCAGATTAGACATAGACTTTGAGCTGTTCACAAGTACTTTTGCTTTATTATTTTTGAAGTTGTAATTTTTAAATTAAAGTTAATTTTTTAAAAACGGTTTCTTTATTACCGGAAACGTAAAGATATACAGGGTGTATATTTTAAGTGATACCACTATTGCTATATCCGAAACGGTAAGAGCTACAAGGTCAGTTAAATTATTAAAAAGTTGCCTTTTTTGATGCCCGTTTAAGATTCGTTTACAGTGTTACCAAATTCCTTTTAGTATCTGAAATACAGGTTCATAACTAGGGCCGAATTGAGGTGAAATTTTGGTAAAAATGACTGATGATCACTTTTTAGATCAGAAACGTGGACCAATCATACTTGAGAGGTATATCGTTAAAAACGGAATAAAGGGTGCTTTCTAAAAATGACATAAAAAATCCAGGTCCGTATTTAAAAAAATGAAGTTGTTGATGGTAACTCAATCACGAAACGTCGGATTCAAAATTTGAAGATGCCATGTTGAAGAGCGAAAAAAATTATAAAACTTTCAAATTTAAATTGTTTCCCGAAAATTCATAGTTTTCGAAATAATTGATAAAATATTTTTAGGCGTTTCTTAGAAATCACCCTGTATTTCATAAACTAAAAGGAATTTGGCAACACTGTAAACGAGTCTTGAATGAGCATCAAAAAAGGAAACTCTTTTCTAATTTACCCGGCCTTGTAGCTTTTACCGTTTCAGATATAGCAATAGTGGTATCACTTAAAATATACACCCTGTATATACAGGGTGTCCCAAAAGTGATGGATCAAACTGAAACAGGGGATAGAGGAAGTCATTTTCAATCAAAATCACCCCCTATGTTCTTATGCAATTGTGGATAGTTTAAAACTTATAGCCATATTTGTGTATTTTTTAAATTCCATCACCTTGTCAATTAAAAGCTTTAAAAAAAATTATACTGTTGAATAAACAGAACGGTTTTTTTTTTGTTTGTACCTGGAAATGATGTGCCCTTCTAATAAATATATTTTTTTAAAACATTACTTTTCGAGAGCGCTAGAAAAAAGTTTCTTTTTAGACTTTTTACAACTTTAAAAATAAGTACTTAACTTTGAGTCCATTTTTTTGCGAAAAAAACGTAAGACATTAGATTGACCCTGCAGCTTAAAAATTTCTGCGATTCATACTAATTCCAGCAAGGTACAACTTGAATACATTATTTGTTATTGCCTAATAAAATTTTGATTTTTTCAAGAAATAGACGTTTTTTGAAATGAATTGTGATTTGTTGGGTTGGTGGATTGCAATAAGGCAAAAAAACATTAGAAAATGGTTTATTGTTTTACATGACATTCTTGGTATTATTTACAATAAGTGTTCAAAATGTCTGCCGCGACTTCTAATGCATAACCTACATCGGCGTATAAAATTCCTCTTAATCATTCTGAATGAGCGTTCATTTTGACGAATTAATCTAGTTGCTGTAATTATTTGGTGACGTAGCTCTTCCTCATTATGATTTTCCTTGGCGTATACCAACTGCTTAAAGTATCCCCATAGAAAAAAATCAAGTGGGTTGAGGTCGGGGGAGCGCGGTGGCCAACGAATTGTACCTCCCCGTCCAATCCAATGACCAGGGTAGGCCCTATTTAAAAACTGTCTCACCTGAAGGCTGTAATGAGCGGGCGCTCCGTCGTGCTGCAGCCACATTGATTGGCAAAGATTCAATGGAATATCCTCAAGTAAAACAGGTAAGTTTCTTGTCAAAAATCTCCTGTAGATTTCGCCATTTAATCTGGCCGGTAGTTCAAACGGCCCAATTAATGAACTGTTAAAAATGCCACTCCACATGTTCACACTAAATTGATGTTGAAAGCGGTCATTTCTAACAATTCTGGGCCCTCCGAAAACTAGATTCGTCTGACCATAAAATTTTGTTAAAAAATTGTGGGTCCTGCCTATTGCGACGAAGCATTTCTCTACAACATTCCACCCTCTTATCGTAATCACTCGGTCTTAGATCTTGAACTCATTGTACATGATAGGGGTGCAATTGGTTTCTTCGTACAATGCGGTGTACTGTTGTTGTCGGAATACCAGAACGTCTTGATATGCGACGAACACTAGTTGAAGGTTCCTCTAATGCCATTTCAACGATGTCATCTTCTGCGTCAGCATTTTCATAAGGTCTTCCTGCTCTGTGAGGATTTCCAGGAATCTGCCCCTCCACGTATGCGTTATGCACTCGTTGAAACACCCTGTAGTCGGGATATCGTTCACGACCAGGAAATCGTTCACGATATCCCCTTTCAGCCGCTCGAGCGTTTCCATTACAAAACCCATAAACAAAATGCATTTCTGCATACTCACGGACGGTATAAGGCATTATGTTTTAAGTTGTAAAAATAATGCAAAATTGCATGTACCTAGCCGATGCCTGGACAACACAACACTACCTATTTTAAATTATTTTTAAATTTTGTTTATGACAAAAAACACGACAAATCAACATTCTTCAAAAAAAAATGTAGATAAATCGGTCAGTACTAGAAGTCGACATATTTTTAAATATTTTTGGAATACTTTGTGAGTACCTTTATTATTCTTTCGTAAAATAATAAAGCAAAATATTGATTTAGCCATGGAATTTTTTTTGCCTACTTCTTGAAAAAATCAAAATTTCATTAGGCAATAACAAATAATATCTTCAAGTTGTACCTTACTGGAATCAGTATGAATCGCAGAAGTTTTTAAGCTGCAGGGTCACTCTAATGTCTTACGTTTTTTTCGCAAAAAAATGGACTCAAAGTTAAGTACTTATTTTTCAAGTTGTAAAAAGTCTAAAAAGAAACTTTTTTCTAGCGCTCTCGAAAAGTAATGTTTAAAAAAAATATTTTTATTAGAAGCGCACATCATTTCCAGGTACAAACAAAAAAAAAACCGTTCTGTTTATTCAACAGTATAATTTTTTTTAAAGCTTTTATTTGACAAGGTGATGGAATTTAAAAAATACACAAATATGGCTATAACTTTTAAACTATCCACAATTGCATAACAACATAGGGGGTGATTTTGATTGAAAATGACTCCCTCTATCCCCTGTTTCAGTTTGATCCATCACTTTTGGGACACCCTGTATACAGGATGTCCCAGGGAAAACAGTCCACCTCGATTTATTGGATTTGGGATGAGAATTTGGAAAAACGCTCGGACACGTGGATTTTTGATTACAGAGGGAACTATTTTTCAGTTTTTTTCATTCCCGTAGCTTCAACCCCCTAGCTAGGGGGATAACAACCCCCCAAATTTTATTAGAGGATAGGGGTCATGTCATATCTCTTTTTAAAGGTCTCATTGAGTTCTTTATGCCCCTAGAATTTCGTCTCATTATTTTCATCCGTAACGAAATGACAGCTTGTCAAAATCTTGGGAATAGACTATTAGTTTTAGTGGAAGCAAAAGCGATACTTAACCTCCCCTAATGAAAATACTTGAAATGAATTTTTTTCCTATTATTATCAATGAGGTGTACACGAGAATTGTAAGAAGCAGCTTTTACTCCTACTAAAACATAGTCCATTCCCAAGATTTTGAAAGCTGTCATTTCGTTACGGATGAGAAGAATAAGATGAAATTCTAGGGCCATGAAGAACTCGATGAGACCTTTAAAAAGAGGTATGACACGACCCCTATTCCCTATTCGAATTTAGGGGGTTGTTCTCCCCCTAGCTAGGGGGTTGAAGCTACGGGGATGAAAAAAACTGAAAAATAGTTCCCCCTCAAATCAAACATCGACGTGTCCAAGCGTTTTCCCGGATTCTCATCCCAAACCCAATAAATCGGGGTCGACTGTTTTCCCTGGGACACACTGTATTTTTTTACTCGTTTTTTGATTTATATATTTTTTAGCTTCAATTTTATCGTCCTTCCTGAAATGATAAAACCATATGCAAAAATTTCAAGAAATAATAAATGGAAGAAGAATATAGTATTTTCAAATTTATTTATTTACTCAAAAGTCAAAAAAAACAAAATATTCACATACCTACATCTCTATAAATCAACGAAATATAAAACTATATTCTAACAGTTTTTAAAGGGTACATATAATTATTTAATGAAAAAAAAACATTATTTATATGTGTCTATAAAAATTAACAAAACATAAACCTATAGGTATTCTAATAAGAGTTTTTACAGGGTGTCCCATGTCCCATTATATTTTGACCCCACCTGTCATTTGTTTAAACAGTAGTTGAAAACAAAAAAAACTTTAAAAATGGAAGTTGTAGATAATTAATTAGGTACTTATAGGTAGGTATAGGTACTTATTTTATGAAAATTGTCTCAAAAAACAATTCAGCATCTTCTGTAAAAGATATAGGCCTATCTTTCATTTTTTCCAATGGAGTGTCCCAATTTTTTCTATTGTTTTGAAATCCACACAAAATTATCCATTTTTGTATAGCATTTCATATTGTAGATGGTATATTTTTCTTTATCATAGGAAATATTCTTGATGAAATACTAATATTGTATCACCTTACCAGTGAAATATATAGGGTAAATTAGGATGTTCCACTACCTTATTAAATATTCATGCACTTGTTTGAAGAAAAATATATCAAACATAAGTATAGGTAGATACATTACTGAATAATGAAGGATTCTGGGTTATAAATAACAAAAAAAAAGCAAAAATTGGGGACTTCTGTAAGAAAAAAAATGCAAATTAGGCATATAATTTCTCCATATGACGCTTGATTGTTTTTTTGATACGATTTTCAAAGGATATGGATAATTATTTATAGTTTGCATATTTGAAGCCTTTTCATACATATTCAAACAGAGGAGAGATTAGGTTTCAAAATATAATGGAACACCCTTTACATGTTTACTTTTTATCGCCCAACTTCTCCATAATTTTTACAAGAAGTTCATTGCTGCTTCTCATAAGCATTTAAAATGTCGCTTCTTTCTGCTTCTCTCTGTCTTTGACGTAGAGCCCTTTCTTGCTGCATTTTCTCTAAGCTGCTCAATATTTTTTCAGTGGAGTTTTTGCAACCCTTCTTCGGAATTATATTGGGTTGGGAGTTAGAGTTACCGTTTTGTTCTTGCAATGGAGTGAATTTTGAAGAACTAGCTGTTGCTACTGGAGACACATCATGATTCTTTTTAAAAATCATATCAAATTCCTCCATCCAGAGAAAGTCAATAGGAGAAGCTCCAGTTTGGGAATTATTGTTCCTGGCCTTAGTGTAGTTCTGCTTCAGTTTACTAAATTTGGTTTTCACTTGTTCCACTGAAAAATTGATTCCATCTTCACTCATAGAATTGGTTATTTTCCTCCACGCCTTGAGTGAAGTGTTCCCGAATAAGTGTTTGTGCATTTTGTAATGATGGATTAGATTTTTTATTGAGCTAGTCAACCATTTTTTTTTCTGAAAAAAAATAATTTATTTAAGTATTACCAAAGATAGGTAATGTATTACACTGCAAAGTAGAAATTTACTATTTCAAAATTCATATTATAGGTAGGTGAGAACCTACTTATAGTTTGTTTCATAAGGTTTTTGTATTTATCTACATTTTAGATTATTATAATTATTATTCGAGCTCCAAAAAAATCAACCAAAGTCCGTAAATATGGAAGGTTTCATTGTAACTATACATATTAAGTAACTGCTTGATAATTTTCTAGAGCTAGAATAATAAAATAATAATAATACTAATAACCTAAAATGTGGATTATGTAAGTACAAACTTCTACCTAGTACCAAATCTACAATACGATTTTTGTGAACATGCTGTATCCTGTTACTTATGTAATTGGATGTATCTACGGCTATAATTAAGCCATCCTCCAAAGTATAAGCAGATACTGGAACCATATATCTAGTTCCATCTGGAAAAAGTAAAAATGGCTCGACAGATTTTTCTACAGGTTATTATCTAACAAAAAAATGGATAGGTACCGGGATACCCCAATTCCTTAATTTTTGTCTCTAGATTCTTGAAAAGCTGAATTTATGTAACATGTTGTTTTTTGAGATTCAAAATTTATTAAGAACGGAAATTTAAGAGTTATAGAAATGGATAATCCCAATCCCACATATTATATTGAATTGAAAGACAAAAATCTACTGAAAGTCCGGACTGGGTAGATAACTTCTACTTACGAAGTATCTAGTGGGTCTATGAGGAAAGCGAAAATTGAAATAAACTGGTGGACAGTTGCTTTGCAACATGGAAAATTTTACCCAAATTCAAATCTCGATATTTTCGGAACGGAAAGAGATATCGAGTTGCGGTATTCGGGAGGTTCTTCACTAACTCTTTGAGAACACGCACAAGGTTTGACCGGTATATTTTTTTCATTTGTGCACTTATACAGGGTGAGTAAAGGAAGTCATGTTTTTTTGGCAAAGTTTGGGGCTATGCCAGATTCTCAATTTTTGATCTTGGAAATTTTTATATGTATCTTTTTGATCCTTGGACTATCCCAAAAAAAGTAATTTCTCAAATTTTTCGAAAGTTGGCTATAACGCAAATTATCGAATTTTAAAAAAGGGTTACATTTATTCCTAAAATACTGACTTTTTTGGGGTTTCGCTTGAGAATGGGTATTTTTTCTCATACTTTTGCATGAAGTAGAATTTCTTGGCCCCGAGAAAAGATTGAAGCACTCATTGAACGTATTGCCTACAGTGGCGTGCAGAAAAAAATTGCTTTTGACATTATGTAATTAAAACCGAATTTATGAATTAAATTATACTATGCAATTAAATCCAAGTTACTACTCTTGACACAAGAGTGTATTCTAGTGGCGTAACACCAAGAGCATCTTTTGGTTTGGTGGGAAGAACTTAAAAATTCGTATTTTTCAAAATGCTATGATGCTGGTCTATACTGCTGTTCATCTTTCATCTGGAATTTTTTAACCTTGTTATTCAGCATTGGCGGACCCGCTTGGATAAAAGGGTCCTTCTTTGAATAACCTCCCACAATAATGTCTTTTGGCTTGACCTCGAATTTTTTTTCTGTCATGGGTAGCTTTTTTTTAAAAAAAAATGTGCGAAAGAGATAGCGTTATTGCAGCGCGATTCGCTTGCAGATACCTTTTAAAGGTACGCATCCACTGAGCGGATCGGGCCGTGGTGCATCTAAACATTCCGGTATAGGATTCGCCACCTAGGCATATTTCATTGGTCCGTTTGAATTCGGACCGCCAATTAATGCGGAGCGCCGAAATCCGTACTTGAACGTTAAACAGTGCTGAACATCAGGTCAGAATGTTGCCATACGTTTGGCGCGGTTTTTAAAAGCTATTTTATATTAAATTAGCTGTCCACCCCCTTCGTGTTTCTCTTTGCTACAATTTTGCGGCGGATGCGGCCTATTTGGCACGTTGCTTCATGTGTTTTTGTGCTTAAACATGCAGGATGAGTTTGCCTGGATCATTTAAACACTTTCAATGTGGTGAACAAATTTACCGTGCTAACATCTTAGAGGAAAATGATATAAAGCGATGGATAGAAGAGTATAATATAAGATATACGAATTGGAATGTGAAGTCAGCAAAGAATAATAATTATATCAGATTCAAATGCAGGTATGTGTTCAATGTCAATTCAATGACGTAGAATCTTCTTGAAGAATCTTCTTGGATACGAATAGACTTTAGAAAATACGTTTTTTAGGTATGTTTTTGTATGCCATCATAGGGCTTACAAAAAAGTGGATCAAGGAAATAATAAAAAAGGAAAATCAGCAGTTGAGTGCCGAATCTAAGGTCAAAATGTTATAAACAGTGCTGAGCATCAGGTCAGAATGTAACCATGCGTTTGGCGCGGTTTTTATATTAAATTAGCTGTCCACCCACTTCGTACAATTTTGCTGCGGATGCGGTCTGTTTGGCACGTTGCTTTATGCGTCTTTGTGCTTTACATGCAAAATGAATTTGTCTGAATCAATCAAACACTTTCAATGTGGTGGACAAATTCACCGTGCATTTTAGAGGAAAACATAGTACTCAACAGTGAACAAAGCTGTTCAGTTCATGTGGCAACAAGTAAATAAAACTAATGTTCGCTGATTTTGTGCCGCGCTGACGGGGCAACATTCTAACCTGCTGCTGGGCACTATTTATTATTTTGACCTTAGATTCGGCACTCCACATACCTGTTGCTACAGAACCATTTGACCTGACGTTCAGCACCGTTCAACATACCAGTGCGGATTTCGGCACTTTGCATTAATTGGCGATCCGAATTTAAACTATTCAAACGGACCAATGAAATATACGTAGGTGCCGAATCCTATACCGGAATGTTTCGATGCGGCCGGGGCGGATCGAATCGCAAAAATCCGTCTATCATAGATTCAAATGAATCTGCGTCCACTTTGCAATTCCATTTTAATCTATGGTAGACAGATTTTTGCGATGCGATCCGCCCCGACCTGTACCGCTCAGTGAACGCGTACCTCAGAAGGTATCTACCAGTTTATCGCACAGCAATAACGGTATCTCCTACAACACTGACTATTGTGTATAAGTAGGTCTCTTTCACTTCTCAGGAGGCACATCAATTGCATGTTAAAAAATAATAATAAGTAGCCATGAAAAAAAAAATACGAAGTCGAGCCGAAAGACATTTATTGTGGGAAGTTATCCATCAAAAACCCTTTTATCCAAGCTGGTACGCCAATGCTAAATGAAAAAGATAACAAATTCCAGATAAAGGATGAACAGCAGTATTTGCTAGCATCATATAGCATTTTGAAAAATATCAATTTTTAAGTTCTACTTACCAAACCAAAAAATACTCTTGGTATTACGTCACTGGAATACACCCTTGTATTAAGAGTTGTAACTTGAATTTGTGCAATAAACTTTTTTTTGGTATAGTCGGTCTCCATTACTCCTCAGAAGACCAACCAATTGCACGTTTTTTTTTTTTTTTTTTAAAAAAAAAGCTACCCATGACAGAAAAAAATTCGAGGTCGAGCCGAAAGACATGATTGCGGGAAGTTATTCAAAGAACGACCCTTTTATCCAAGCGGGTACGCCAATGCAAAATAACAAGGTTAAAAACCTCCAGATGAAAGATGAACAGCAGTGTAGACCAGCATCATAGCATTTTGAAAAATACGAATGTTTAAGTTCTTCCCACTAAACCAAAAGATGCTCTTGGTGTTACGCCACTGGAATGCACTCCTGTATCAATAGTAGTAACTTGGATTTGTAATTTAAAGGGGGTGTGTGCCAAAAATTAAAGTTTTAGTGTAAAAAAAATCTAAGAATAACCGTTCAAACCTCGTTATTCTACGATAAACCATCGCTGAGATATACCGCTTTAAAGTGTGTGTGACGTCACGAGAGCTTCGTCCAGCCGCGCTCCGCATTGTTAATTTAATTGTTCCTGGCATGCGTGAGTGGTTTTTGTTTAGATAGTTGCAGGTGACACAGGGAAAACATATGTAAATTCAATTTACTTCAATTTCTCGTGCGTCGCTTGAGCTTTTGAGACGTCATAGGGTGAGATTCGGTACCTTCATAGAGCCATATCTTAGTATTATTTGTCATAGAGGGGTGCGGTTTTCACTGTTATTCTTAGGATTTTTTTTCTCTTTTTTTGAGATGAAGTTGTTTTTTTGGCGCACACCCCCTTTAAGCTGTTTAATTGCATAGTATAATTTAATTTATAAATTCGGTTTTACAACATAATGTCAAAAGCAAATTTTTTCTGCACGCCACTGTAGGCAATACGTTCAATGAGTGTTTCAATCTTTTCTTGGGGCCAAGAAATTCTTGAAAAAGTATGAGGAAAAAATACCCATTCTCAAGCGAAACCACGAAAAAGTCACTTTTTTAGGGATAAATGTAACCCTTTTTTAAAAATTCGATAATTTGCGTTATAGCCAACTTTCGAAAAATTTGAAAAATTACTTTTTTTGGGATAGTCCAAAGATCAAAAAGATGCATATAAAAATTTCCAAGATCAAAAATTGAGAATCTGGCATAGCCCCAAACTTTGCCAAAAAAACATGACTTCCTTTACTCACCCTGTATAAGTGCACAAATGAAAGAAATATACCGGTCAAACCTTGTGCGTGTTCTCAAAGAGTTGGTGAATAACCTCTCGAATACCGCAACTCGATATCTCTTTCCGTTCCGAAAATATCGAGATTTAAATTTGGGTAAAATTTTCCATGTTGCAAAGCAACTGTCCACCAGTTTATTTCTGAAAAAGTGTACTCACCCTCTGCTTCTAAAGTGTAGATATCCCCATCAATTCTCAGAAATTTTACATTTGTGATATTTGCCATCTTATTAATTTTTGGTAATTCCACACTAGCGGAATTACCTATATAAACAAAATATGAATCGAAAAGGCCACAGATGCACAGCAATAGACAAGAAATCTCGCAAGAAACCATACAAACATAGACATACAAATAATAAATAATTGCAAAGGTTCAAATAAACAATTCACAGGCCGAAACTAACCTCAGCAAATTTCAACCAATCATAATGCGTATAGCCACTTTTGTATCCGCTCCGAAGTGTCGCCAAAATTTACGCGACCAGGGCAAATTGTGAACGTACAAAGCCGATCAATATTGACAAGCTGCAACATATTTAGAACGGCAGAAGCTACATGTGGCTTGGCTCCAGCCGCGCCTGAACAGACTCCAGGACCCACTAACCTGATATTGTTTAAGGAAATGCCGTTGCTAGTTTGCGCCGAAGGGTCGAAAACGACACGCAATTTTGTTGTGAGACTAGCCTCATGAATTAAGCCGTGATGCGGCATGAAATACTCTATGTCATGATGCTCGTCACATGTGGTTTAAATGCTCGTATTCTTTCATGAAACTTACATAATATTCGCGAAAATGATTATTTTTTGATAATTTTCTTTCAAGGGAATAGAATCTCTTTTCTGCTTGCTTACGAGACGACCCTAACGATTCGGCTGCTTGCTTCAACGAAAAATCACTATAAATCGACCTTCACAATCTCTACGAGTGGTTTCCGAGAATATTCGCTCACACTGAATTTCTTCCTGAGACAACGGTTTTGGCGTTTCTGAGGCAGCTTCCTCGATTTCCCAAAATTTGCTTAACGTTTTTTGAAGCTCAAAGTTTGTACTAGAAAAACAACATGCTGGAATCGCTTGATTATGATCGTTAATTATCATTCCTGCCAGAATCCAACCTAATTTTGTTTCTTGAATAGGGCTGGCAGATTTTTTCCACAGGAAATTATTTTCTGTTCCAAAAGAACCCAAAATAGCTTCGCGCCAATAATAATGTCAATTGGCTCAGGCCTGAAAAATTCGGGGTCTGCTAGCTTTAGATAACTGGGAATCTTTAAGACTTCAACATTGATGTTGCTTGAATACGAAATGCTGGATATTTGAGAGAGAACGAAATAATTCAAAGGGTGCTTGAAACCAGAGTTCAAAGAAGAGATTTCGATTTCACATCTATATTCAATGCTGGATTGAAGATTGCCTATTCCAAGGACTGAAAGATTTGACTTCAATTTTTTCAAACCTAGGCGCTCGCAGAGCTCGGAAGTAATAAATGAAGACTGAGAACCACAATCTAAGAGAGCTCGAGCGTAGACTTGCATTCCATGCATGTTATGGACTCGAATTCTGGCGGTTGACAAAAAAGTATTGTTTGGACTTTGATTTATTTTCTTGCTTACTGCGGACGTTATATTTGGACTTGCTCCTGGACTATTGGGCAGTTGCTGGTTCTCAACAGGTGGATTATCTGGATGCAAAAGGGTGTTGTGGCATAGCTTACATTTTCTGCAAGATCCTATTTTGCATCTTTTTCCAGAATGATTATCACGCAAACGATTAACGCATAATTTTTTTCTTTTGATAAATTCCATTTTATTTACACTTAACAACTTACTAAAACCAGTACTTTAATATATGGGATGTTCCTTGTTACAAAAATAGCATGTTAACTTACCTACTACAAATGAACGTGTACTTTTCTGTTGATGATTCGACCTATTTTGATTAGAACCGCTTTTGTACTCAATGGTTTCCAAAACCTCGGCTCGATTTTTGAGGAACTTTAAAATATCATCTGAAGATGGCGAGGGAATGTCTATAGACTTTTTCTCCCAGTCTATTACTGTTTTTTGCTCTAATTTGGAATTTAATATGTATATTAAACGGGTGTCCCAATTCGATGTATCCTGCCCTAACTGATTCAAAGAGTTTAAACGCTTGGATAAGTTATCGATTAAACCCCGTATCTTTGACGAACCCTCTTTAATTATATTGTCCAAAGAAAAAATTGCCCTTAGGTAATTATGCATTAATATTTTTTTATTGTCAAACCGGTCTGTAAGCGCACTCCACGCCACTGGATAACCTTTTTCAGAAAACTTGACTGATTTTATTACTTCGGATGCTTTTCCGACAAGTGGGGCCCTTATATAATGAAATTTTTGAATTTCGGTTAAATCATGGTTTTTATTAATTAAAGATTCAAATGTATCTTTGAACTCAAGTCAGTGTTTAAAAAGGAACCATCAAAGGTAGGTAATGGAATGTCGGGCAATTTTGCAGCATTTGCCTGCAGAAGCGTGTCCAGAAACTAAAGAATTATTAGAATGCTGAGAAGGAGACTTACTTGACGAATGGTCAAGGTGCTCGTCATCTGGTAATAAAGTTTTGCTAATTGCAAGATACTCATAAAAAAGATCATCAAACTTTGCTCGCTCTGTATATTGCTCGTCCAAATTTGTCTCATCAGTGATTAACTCAATTTCGTTTTGTACTTCTATGAATTGGATAAAAACACTTTCTAAACGCACTAATCGTTGTTGTAAATTAACGATTTCACTTTCATCTAGACCTTCTCTTTTTTGTGGAAGCAATTGTACGTGTTTTATGAAATTCGTAAGTGAAGCCTTTAAACCCCCGCGTTTACGTTTTAAAGTGGTTTCATCCATGTTGCTCTATTTAATAAACTTGACAACGCTGCTTGCTTACTTTTAATTACTGCTAATTTTATTAATTGTTCTGCTTGAAATTAGCAAAAATTAATGTGCGTTGTAATACCAAAAAAACGAAAAATCAGCTCAAGCAAATGGAAATGTTCAAGCCCTTGAATGATGGCTAAATTATTTAAACCTAAACATAGGTTAACTTGTATAAATATGAACGATAACAAAAAACTCTGAATTCTAGGCTAGACTTATAAACAAAGCTTAACCGGTTACGAGCAACGTTGCCAATTTAATGATTGAACCTACAAAAATATTACACAAAACTTACAGTCATTATTTGATATAGATGACCGAGAACTTCTTAGTGTTGAGCATATCCGTGACTTTTTAAACTCTATGTGAAACAAACGAAGAAAGAAGAAAGTAATAAATATAAAATGATCACTGAAATATACTAACTTGAAGTGTCACTTTTTCTCCTAATTTTCAAGGTAGGAATGGTAGAATACACATTGGTTCTTCGGATGAGTTATCAGAACTATTGTCGCTGTATTTTGGATTTTTGTTCGTTTTCTTTTCTGATGAGTCTTAACATTATCCTGTTGAGATGATAAATTGTCAGTGTCTTGAGCTTTCCTTGATTTTAGTTCGGTATGATCATATTAAATTTAAAAAAATATACCTAGGTATGATTATTAATTTTATGCTGGGGGACACATTTTATGGGTATATTCACCCTTTACCTGTTAACCCCTAAGCGGGGGTGGTAGATACCCTCAAAATTCCAAATAGTGTAGCACTTTTTATCTTTTGGTACACAGCGAACGGCTGCTTTTCATCTGGAGAGCAGATGGGTCGGAGTTCAAAATCAAAGTTTAATTTTTAATGAAGTTTTTAATTATTTTCTCAAATATTTAAATTTCAATATACACCTAAGTATATATTACTAAAAGGGCGCCACGCAATTTTTACTTGATTTGGTTTAAATTGCGAAACCAAACTTAGAGAACATCTGCAAAATTATTAATTGGTGAGAGTGGAACAATAATAATTAAAACAACACTTCAATCTTCGATTGAATAAAATTCTATTTGTCAATAATTATTGATGGTTATTCAAGTCACATTGTAATCACAAAATATATATAGCCAATTTAAAATAGGAGTACCTATGAAATAAATATGTTAAATAACCAGTACCTATTTAATGGTAGATACTTAAAGTAGAGTATCAATGTAATTATTAATAAGTTTCTTTTCAAGCGAAAAAAAAAAATATGTAAGTTAATGAATCTTAAAATTTATGGAAACTTGTTTAACCTGGATATTAGGGTATTGTCTAATTGACACCTTTAATTATCTCATACCTAGAACCTAGAACCCCATAAGCTTTGTTTTGGTTTAACTCAGAACTAGTTCGGAATCATTCTGCACATGCGCATATTATAAAATGCGTTTTCGTTTTTTCAGAATCGTAATCGAACTGTGTTGACAGTGTTTTGGTTTATCTAGAACTATTTAAGAATAGTTCTGGGACTGTTCTAGAACGGTTCTCCCAGTTCTTGCTCTAAAGGAGGAACTGTTTTAGAATTTTCTGATTTGCGGCGTGTTTTGGTTTTTTTGGTCCCGAATCGGTTCAGAACTAGTATTAGAACAGTCCTCTATTATTTTTTGTGCGCAAGCAGTTCTGCGCAATCCCAGAACCGTTCCAAATTTCGAACCAAAACAAAGCTATCGTCGACTATAGTTCACAATATTGCTCAATGGTATTCTTTTTTTGAATTATGGTTGGTGTTGTGATTTTGTGATTCACGTTAACATTGAGGGCACAAAGCCCCTTTAGGGATGAAAATCACCCTGATTGACAGAATCTTAAACAATAATTTTGTTGTTTATTTGCTACCAATATGTGGAAGTTAAAATAATTAATAAATCCCATTTGTTTTAGGCTAAAGCAAGTTAACGCCCTCAACCCCTAACCGTGGGCTAGTGGAGAAGATGCGGTCTTCATCCTTTAACTGAGATAAACAGATGATGATGACCAAAACAGGATTATGTGTTTTAAAGTAATGAAAGCGAAAGTGGAATTTGAATAGGTTAAGTTGGTAAATAAAAAATATGATGTATTATTTTGTATGATTGAAATTAAATAAAAATATTCAACCGATGGGAAATCCCATCCTTAATTGTTTCAAGTAAAAATATTATATAACTAGATAGGTAAATATCCTCTTTGATATAAACCTTTCACAAAAAAAATGAAGGGTAGCATTTAAAGAAAATTCAAATGCTACAATAGAAAGGGGGGTCGAGTGATACGTCATGCCTTTTTTTTTTGATTATCTGAACTGTGAGTTTTTAACTTCCACCTCTAAGCGAAAGTGACAGATAAAAAACACACAACATTTTTCCTATCTTTGACAAGCTGCCATTTCGGTAGGGTAAATAGTAGGTCTGTTCATGCAGAAATCACAAACCAGTCCGAGCGAATTCCATTGGTTGAAATCAGTCAGAAGAATACTAGTTTCAACCAATAAAATTCACTCTAACTGGTTTGTGATTTCTGAACGAACAGACCTAGTGGCAACTTAAAACTTCGGGGAGAGTAGGTACCTGTCACCTCCGCTTAGGGGTTGACAAGTAGGGAAAATACCAATAAAATGTGTCCCCTAAATAACCAAAATTGACGTGTCCGAGCCATATAGGTACAGGGTGGGTCACAAAAAACTTCCCATCCAGGTCTTCTCAGGTGATAGGTGATGAATCAAAAACGCTCGGATCCAATTCGTTTTTCATAAAGTATACTGAAAGTATTTTGTACACCTTTAGTTACAAACGGTTTGTCGCTAAGAAATTCTTTCAGTTTAAATAAATATACAATCCAGTAGAAGTGGGTATGATACTTACCGGTACCTAAAAGTTTTTCACCCCAGAGTTTCCAACCTGGTGATGAACTTCCACCTGTCTCAATAAGTTTCATTAGCTTGCGGTAACTGGAACTTTTAAGGGGCCAATAGCATTGAACACTATTTTTGAGAAACCATGTATGTGGTACAGCAGCCGCAGAGTACTCTTCTTTGAAGTGCACTACTTATCACATTTTTAAAAGACACTTGTCACTTTCCCTTAAAGAAAGAAACTCTCACTATAATTAACTATTGTAATAGCATATTAAATGCGGAGGTGGAAAGTGTTCCATTATCGTCGAGAGATACTATGTTTGACAGCAACCAATTTTCGAGGCAATATAAAATCTGTTTTTTTTTAAAGATAAACGTCAAAATGACATTATGTTGGCAATACAATGTAAAATTGTCAATCTCTCAAATTTTTTATGTAGAAAAGGCTTGTGCTGCCAACATAGTTACTAAATTTTTGACTTGGGGAATTATCTTTAAAAAAAAAAACAGACTTTATGTGATATTTTTTTGACAGTTCTAACAGCCAGTTAAATTTTGTTATTTCATGTCATGTGACAGAAATCACCCAATCATGTCAAAATTATACTGAAAATAGCCCATGGGTTGTTTTCATTCTATGACATTGTCGCGAACATTGCTGTCAAAAAAATTTCTATCCGAATAACCCTCGAACATTGATTAACGCTCAAAAATTTTATAACAACTTCCTCAAGCTTGTTGCTTAAAGAAAACAGACCTCCGCTAGCGCGTCGGTGTGTTTTCAAGCAACAAGCTTTCGAAATCTGTTATAAATTTTTTTTGGATAATTATCAATGTCCTTGGGCTATTACTAATGAAAACTTTCCACCGAAATATGTATTCTATTTTATTTTAAACCATTAATTATTGAAAAAAAATTAAGGTAAAAATATGACAAAAATAGGATTTCGACTGACACTCTGATACAGACATGACATCTTATGAAATTTCAACAATATAAACACATGTGACATCTACTTCTAAATACAAACATTGCACCTGGATTTGTGTTTAGGTGTAAAAGCGCAATTTATCAGGCCGAAAGTGAGTTCTCCAGGCCGAAAGTGGCAGGAGAACTGTAACTTTTGGCCTGCTTCAAAGTTAACGAAAGTAAAGTGACAATTTCCAATCTTCAAACCAGTAAGAAATTTGAAAATTTTAATCGTTTTTAACTTCTTATTCGTGTTTTTCCTTGTATATACATTGCTAAAATTAGATTTTTTTATTTAGTATGCCTGTATAAGTATATGCATTGAAAAATATAAAAATTTGAAATTACATTTATTCTAAATAAAATATAATCCTTATGTGATATAGGTACCTAACTAGTTAAATCAATTTTTGTTGAGGAACTAGGAACTTACATTGCAGAACACTCTTTTTGGGATATTTACTGTCATCAGAGTCCTCTGCAGATTCTAAGCAACTGTAATGAAACTTTGGATTTTCTTTCCTCTTTCTTTTTTTATTTAAAATACCTTCTTCGTTCGCTGAAGAAATGTCAGAAGAAATCATAGCTTTTCTTGCTTTTTGATGAGCAGTTTTGAAATCATCTAAAATATTTTGAAATAGTCAAAAAACTGAAGGAAACGGTTGACCAAATGCGCTTACCATATGTACCCAACGTTTCACAGGATAAACTTTCCAGTTGGTATCTCGTTCCACCTTACTTTCAATTCACTTGAAATTTTTTTCCTTGTACAAGAATTAGGTGGCCAGAAACATTCTGGAGAAGTTATGATGCACCAATTTTTTGGTACGACCTCTACTTTATCTTCCTTTGTAAATAGGACTACATTCCAAGTCATTTTCTTACATAAAAATAAGACAATAATAATCAAGTAACTACTTAATATGCTGTTGTTTGTTGGTGAAGTTATTGGTTTTATTTGGTGTGATTTCAGTCCCAAAAATTAAGGAGGAAAGTCCATAAATAATAAAAGTCTAATCCTACGATACGGAACACTAGTTCAGGGACTTTGGGATAATATGTATAATAACTCATTAAGACATCTTCAGGTTATACAAAAAAGCATATTAAAGAACGTCACTTTAGATTAATTTG